CCTTAAATCTGTACCAAATCACACAGACATGGTTCATCGGGACAGTTTTGCTACAGCTACAAGAGTACTTGCAAGTGAGAGAACAAAGATTTTCCCCAACACTTTTCCTTTCCCGCCCCACCTCCCGCCCCAAGAGATACAGGAGGTTGTTCTCTAAAGCTGAGTCAAGATGACTTATGATAGACATTTACATTAAAATTTACAAGTTCTGGATGCAGGAAATACGGTTAATCTGTAAATTTCACGGTTTGTATATCTGAAAAAAAATACAAATATTTCACACCTTCCCTGAAAACACAACATAGCTTAACTGTGCTGATAACATCACAAATTGAAATTAGCCACCTTTATTACAGATTAAGAACTAACCAGCTGCAAGGGAAATACAACTACTTGCTTCTGGCAAGTAAAGCAGAACAGTGAGATGAATCACATGAGCAATCCAGGCTTCTGGAGTAGAAAAGGCTACCTTGCTATTTGTAGTCCTCCCATAGGAGATTTCAGATTGTAGTGTTTCTTTATCGCTCTCCATTTTTAATAATGAAGAAAATGTTTTGCCGTATGGCAAAAGTAAAGAACGTCAGCTAAGTGTTTTCATACGGACTTCCTACATACAGTACCACAAATAGTAGAACATAGGGCCTTATTATAGAAAAGGTGGAGTCTAATGAAGAAATTGAACACACATCTATTACAAGGCATTGGTTAGCATGAAATATTCCTGGTAAAGTGGAAAAAATTACACAATCAGGATTACTTTTTAAAAGCATACAGCTTTTTCCTTCACTTCCTGACCAAAACTCAATAGTGACTGAACAGTATTTACGGTAACATAAAGGAATATTTGTTTTAAGAAATAAATTACAAATGGGAAATTAGAAGTAAATATTAATATCTGATTCACAGTGCAGTTTATGTGAAATAAAATGGATTTGCCACATAGCCTTTCCAAGTAATATTAAAAAGGTTTTTCTCTCCTTTAGCACTGCTGAGCTTCCCAAAAGCTGTCCAGTCCTTCCTATTAAATAGAAGAACACCTACCAGTGCCAGCCAACACTAGCAAAAATCCTCCAGCCAAGCTTCCAAAGGAAAATGAGTTGACAAGTAATTTTTCTAGCTTGCTGTAGCAGTTAAGTATGTCATCTCCTCACTTTCTAGTATATCCCTCCCTTAAACTAAGTTGAAGTTGGAACAACATTCCCAACTCTACCAGGCTTCAAGTGTGGTGTGCCTATGCTCAAAAGCTTTCATGACTACCCCATTCAATTGGCTGGTCTGACTGAAGAGGCTCTTCCAGCCCACCTGGTCCTGTCCATACTCCTACACTGTGGTGACCAGAGCAACAGTTACTGGGAAACCCTAGCATTGGAAACATGGCAGTAGGACACTGGAGATGAGGTGCTAGAAAATGTATAGGGCCTCCCTGTCTCAGCACCTGCACCAAGAACCTGCTCAAGAACTATGTAGGGGTCTCACCCCAGCCCCAAAATAAAAATCAGAGCGGAACAGAAAATATTTTTGTAAACCCCCCCAAGCAGAAGAAAAACAGGGGGCAATGGTTACATCCTGCTGATCAACTGCTCAGACAGCCTATGTGCTCTATTTCTGTGCACAATTAGAACTAGTAGCCTAAATTCATCCTAACTCATCACAAATTATACCAAAGAATTTAATAGCAAGAACGTTCTTGACATCTCCCTCCCCACTTTTTTTTTTTTAAAAAAAAGAATGCTTAGGACATGCTAGATATACAGACCATATCTTAGCCAGTAACAACATTACTGATGAGATGTCTAATTACAACATCCTCTCCCCACTCACCGACTATGGTGGTTTGACTCTGGCTGGATGCCAGGTGCCCACCAAAGCTGCTCTATCACTCCCCCTCCTCAGCTGAACAGGGGAGAGAAAAATATAACAACAGGCTCATGGGTCAAGATAAAGACAGGGAGATCACTCAGCATTTACTGTCATGGGCAAAACAGACTTGACTTCAGGAAAAAAATGTAATTTATTAGCAATCAACTCTGAAAGGAGTAATGAGAAATAAACCCAAAACTTAAAACACCTTCCCCCCACCCCTCCCTTCTTTCCCAGGCTTAACTTTATTCCCGATTTCTCTCCCTTCTCCCCCGAGTGGCACAGAGGGACAGAGAACAGGGGTTGCGATCAGTTCAACACACTGTTGTTTCTGCTGCTCCCTCCTCCTCAGGGGGAGGACTCCTCACACATTTCCCCTGCTCCAATGTGGGGTCCCCCTCACGGGAGAAAGTCCTCTATGACTTCTCCAGCGTGAGTCTTCCCACAGGTTCAGTTCTTCACGAACTGCTCCAACGTGGGTCTCCTTCATGGTGTGCAGTCCTTCAGGAACCGACTCCTCCAGCATGGGCCCCCTCCCATGGGGTCACTGGCAGCAAACCTGCTCCAGCGTGGGCTTCTCTCTCTCCACAGGCCACAGGTCCTGCCAGGAGCCTGCTCCGGTGCAGGCTTCCCACGGGGTCACAGCTTCCTTCAGGTATCCACCTACTCCGGCGTGGGGGTCCTCCACGGGGTGTAGGCAGTCATCTGCTCCACCACCCATGGGCTGCAGGGGGACAGCCTGCCTCACCATGGTCTTCACCACAGGCCCCAGGGGAATCGCTGCTCTGGCGCCTGGAGCATCTCCTCCCCCTCCTTCTGCACTGACCTTGGTGTCTGCAGGATGTTTCTCTCACACATTCTCACTCCTCTCTCTCACTGCAATTACTGCTGCGCAACAACTTTTCCCTTTCTTAAACATGTTATCACAGAGGCGCTACCACCGCCGCTGATTGGTAGCAACGGGTCCGTCTTAAAGCCAGCTGGCATTGGCTCTATCAGACACAGGGGAAACTTCTAGCAGCTTCTCTCAGAAGCCCTCCCTATAACCGCGCCCCTCACTACCAAAACCTTGCCACGCAGACCCACTACATGATTCATATGAAGGTGGCAGGCCCACTCTCCCCTCGCTCCCCAGAGTTTCAGAGAGTGTTGCCAAAGTCCTCCTGTACCCTCTAGAATGTTTTGCTCTGAGAGCGGTTGCAGGATGCAGTTTGAAACATCAGAGAAAAGAGTTTAAGAGATTACTCAGGGGTCTGCTCAGCAGCATAGTCATTTAAGTGCTTCAATAGCACTTGGATTCCTATTTAGATATTTACATTGTGTACATCACACTGTATTGAAACTTCTATTGTCTAAAACTGTGGATTTGCATTTTTGACAGGGTTTAGTTTACTCTTATGCATTAAAGAATAAATTAAGAATAATAGCCCCACCTACTGACAGACCAGTTACAATACAGAGTGAAAACTGAACTTCATACTTGCTGACCAGAAAACATGAGTTTTCTTTCCACCTCTTTCACACAGACCCTAGAATCAATTAATACCAGCAGGAAAAGAACTCAAACCTCTCATTTTCCATTTGCCCAGCACATAAACTCAGATGACAAAGTAGTTCATTATCCTTTACAGAATTTACTGCTAATCGACAGGATAATGTAGGAACTTCATTCAGTAGCATCAGAAAATAAAGCTCAAGACAAAGTTAATTGAAGAATCAAAAGAATCAAATGAAACCTATCAGGAAGGTTCATCTGCATATCGTATCTCATGCACTGCTTTCCGTGCTCAGGATTGTAAGAACTCGTTGTCAATTCAATAAGGGGATAACTTGCACTGCTCATAAGTATTTTTCAACTTCAGTGAAGTTTGTTTTTCAAGTGATAATGGGAATGCTTTTTCATTTGAAATCCTTTCATCCCCCCCTTTTCTTTTTTTTGAGTGGGTAGACATAATTCTAGATTTTTTTTTTCAAGAGTCTTAGTATCTAGTAATAGCCCTCATCTCTTTGTGTGTTATTTCACTATCCATTTGTAAATAAGGAAGATTTTAATGTCGTCTATGCAAAAAGCTCTTTTTCCCCTTCCCTTAAAGCTTAAATTTCTATATTTTTACAGTTGTTCCAAAGAACCTACAGAACTGCCAAGAGAAATTCTTTCACAATTAGTCTTCTCCTGCCTATGCCTAGCACAGTAAGCTCTCTTTGAAGGCCTTCGCTTTTCCTGTACTTTAGCGCCTGAGAAACAGGTGGTGTCAAGTCATCCTACAATGAGTTAATTTTTGAGCATATAAGGTGAAGAAGAAGAGGGTGCTGGATAGACAGGCTAACACTGCTAGTGACTCCCCACTATGTAACTCATCCTCCCTCATCTATAGTTTTCCCTCTATAATGCTAAGTCACATCCAGAAATAAAGATTCATTACATGCACAAAGCTCTCAAGTAGGCTAATACCTTTGCCCAGTTCTGTAATCTTCTGCTTTTACAAAACCAGACAGCACTGCAGGAGGAAGCACAGGATTTTTTTCCCTGCTTTTTCCTCTTTCATGAAAAGTTAATTTAATTACTGAAATAATAGATAATGGGAAGCACTGGAATAAATTAAGCATCACCTGTGACAGAAGGGACAAGACTTGAATTCAAATCATGATGTACATAAAACAAACAAACAAAATAAACCACAAAAACAAACTGCCACTCGGACACAGGAAAATTTAACTTACTGACCTGTCAATGCCAGTGTTTCCACTTAAGAAACTGCTGTATGGAAGCTGATGGAGCTTCTTTTCATCTCTAGCTTGTTGCAAGGCACAAAAAGTGACACAGCACACTAACAGTAGCAGAATTTGAGGCATATGTTCATCTTTAACACGGACTGTTTGATTAACAACTCTTTTATGAAACTTTTACAGTCACTACATTCAAATGTTCTACTAATCAATGCAAAACCAGACATCAATTCTTCAGGTTCATTTTATTAGCAATGATGAATATAAATCTCTTATGAAAATATTCTTAACATTTCAATATAGAAGAATTGTCTATAAAAATATACTACTACATAACAAAGCCAGTTAACTTCTATAAAACATATAATTCAACATATATTTAACAATATATAGGACATAGTAAAAATCCTGAGGGTATTTTTAACCCCATTTTGTCAAACAATAACTCACATAATATAGGAAATTACTCGTTCTGATATACAGAAGTGTCATCACCATAGAAGTCTGTGTATGTTCCACCCTGAAGTTACCTGCATCTGCAGGAACATAAAGCCACAACTTTTCTTTGGATGGACAGGCAGTTATGACCACAAAAACATTCTGCTAGTAACTGCAATTTTCAGTGCTGCACACCTGCTGTCAGGACTGCCAACCCTGAATCCATGCAGGAACAGAGATCATGCTTCTACTACCTTATGGGACTGATGCCAGAGATGAGCCTACCGTGGTCACCATGGCTAGAGAACTGGAAAACAGACTTTTCCTGGTTAACTACTGCTAGTTATCAAGGAATTAACTTTTAAAGAGGCTGCCTCTCTAGAAATTAACTTTCTTCCAACAGGCAGCTCTTGAGGTCAAGGAAGAGAAAACACTGTGGGTGGGGAAGCATTTTCTACTAAATGATGATCAAGGGTAGCACTATTCATCTTGTCATTATCAATTACAGGAAGAGCCATCTTAGCACAGTTTTTCAAACTGAGAAAGAGTCTAGTTTCAGGTTTCAGAAGAAAAATGACACACTGAACTGGTTACTTTACCAACACTGTTACACTGAGGTTACTTAACGCCTGGTGTTAGGCAAATGCAGGAAATCCATTTTAATTATGTAGACTGCCCTTGTCTACACAATGAGCTTGTCAAATTCTTAGTGTAGATGTATTTAGCGAGCTTTCAGAGCATGCTTTGACAAACAATTTAACCTGAAAGAAATTGGCTCCTGCACAGTGACAGTTCACAGCTTTTTCAGGCATTGGCTTTCGTAGAAGAGCTGGGTACATAAGGCTTTAAGGCTACAAAGTCCCACTGAAGACAACAGATGATTACAGTGTTTTGCATAGTAAAGAACATAAGAAACATGCTTGTGACGCATCAGTAACAACTGAATCTTTTTACCCTGTGTTTATGGGCAAAACAACCAATAATTAATTATTATGCTTTCTATTCAGGATCCACTGAAATCGGTACATTGAATTAATATGATGAAATTCAAGTGAAACTTAACTTTATAACATAGCAATTGCAATGAAACAATATTCCACCAGATTTCAAAGGAAGGACTTCTTATTAGAAAACAACATTTATCGAACTTAAAAATACTGTAAAGATCACAACAGCACACTACAGGTGATGAACATTAATAATATATTTCTGACTCAAAGCTCAGAAAAATAACATTTGACCCTGAGAAACTTGCTATATTAAAACACTAAAAATTATTTTGAAAGTAAATATCCCAAAAAAGAAAGAAGAAGAAAAATAAGAATCTGAAAAAATCAAGGCTCAGCCAGTTTCATTTCAGATTCTCAAACTGTTAAGCTCTGGAAGAAAAAAAGTTTGACCCTCTTAACAGGAATTTTAAGAAATGTTTTCAATTAAAAAAAAAGACAACATTTTAGGGTATCCATACTTTTGCATAATTTCACTCTCTTTGAGGCTTCCAACTAAAACTGAGGTTTTCAACCCACATTTGAGAGGAAGAAAAACTAAAAAATTGAGGTGGTTGAAAAAACTGAAAGCTTAAATGTCTTCCATTCCCCAAATAATCTAGAACAGCTAGTTACAGAAGCTAGGTTGTCATGATTTATGACTAGAGAAGCCCTAGTCAAGTCCTTCATTCTCACACCAGTTAAACAATTCTCTAGAAGATGGAACAAAATCAAAATAATGTTCCAAAAAATACAATGTTCTCCAACATAGGATCTTGTTTAGAATATTATTTTAAGAACTTAAATATTTAGGAAGCTTTAAGAACAGCAAAAGGAAATAAGCAGATGGAACCATAAGGAACGCCTATAGATTTGGAGGAAAAAAAAAAATCTGTGGTTTTTGGGCACTACAGGTATGGAAACACATCAAAAGAGTTTCTGCAAGATCTTCAGAGAAAAACTACCAATCAATATATCACATAGTTGATTTCAGGTCAGCTTATTTTTTACACTTACTTATGTGTTAAGGGCAAGAAAAGAGTCCTTTCTTCAGTAGTCTGTTCTTCTCTACCAAGTGTAAACAAGATTCATCGCAACTATATGACCTAAAGATTTTTCAGTATAAGCTTCCACATTATTTTTATTCAGTGCTGACAAAGCAGCATCCATACACTGCAATTTAAACTATTATCTAATTCCCCTTCCTAATGTTTTCACACTGTCATCAAGTTCAGGCTACTCTGGTTTTGCCCTCTCCAACAACCTTACTATACAGTTATGTAGCTGGATCAGCTCCCAGGGCCAGCTCACCACACAACCACATAAGCATGAGCATTGAGATGACATGAGGGAGCAGAACTAGCTGACAACCCAACTTTTCATCAATATGAACTGTTTTGGAACCACACCTTGTAAGCGTCAATTCAAATACGTGCATATTAAACACGAAGTGAAGCAGTAAAAAATGCAGTCTGTTTTCCTTCCCTCCCCTGAAAGCTGTTGCTCAATGTGGTGATGGCTGAGCCACAGAAGCAACAATCCCAGTTTACAATTTCAAGTATTAAGTGAAATGGGTGCCAAACTGGAATTTTATCATTACATTAGGCTTTAAAGAGATGTGAAAGCAGTTTCATACTACTCCTGACCCTGTCAGCGGCAGCTGAACTTCAGCCTTCAGGAGAAGCAAAGAATGAGCAGCTATAAGCAGGAACTGATTCTGTTACTCCAGTGGAATCTGCTCATGTCCATAAATGTATATGGATTCAGGGTGCTGCTTTACATACAGGTTCTTGCACAAAGATGGTTCCTCACATCCAGATGCATCCCAAAGCACTATAAACATTCCAGTCCTTTGGGACTCAAGTCCCTAGATCTGACCTGCCAGCATGCAATGCTTAGTGGCAAAAGAAAAGGTATGTGACTAAACATCTGTAAGTCAAAATAAGAAAACATCTGCCACCTTCAGTGATTTTGAAAAAAAATGTATCAAGTCTATGGAACACAGCATTCTCCTTTAGAAAAATACTAGTGTGAGTAAATAACTGAAAACCACCTCATGATACAAAGGACCAAATAAAGAACCAAGTTAAAATTTTCTTTAAGCGCTACTGAGACAAGATCCAAAAGTACGTTAAGACTCCGTTTAGGAAAATCTCCCTACCTAATACTAAACATATATTCCTCCTGAAACATAGCACAAGCCTTTTTTCTTAGTATTTGTTGCTATTAAGATAAAGCCAAAAAAAAAGCAATTAGATGTGTAAGAGAAGTGACTAAGATTTAAAAAGGCCAGCTGGAAAAACGGGGCTGAAGCTGCCCACTAGCACTGCCTGATGTAATGCAGATGCCTCCAAGTCATGAGATGTATACGCATTGCTCCACCCTCCCACCAAGCTCTCCTCAAACTTGTTCTGTAGATTCTGTTGACCTTGGCCAACCTGCATTTCCTGTGAAACTAATTACTCTGCACTCTTGTAAATTCTTAGGAAATAGGCAAATGCTTTATGGTAAATCCTCCTAACTTCATGAAGGCCAAGACGACTTAAACTTGGTCTCATAAAGGACTTTTGTATAAAAGAATCTGAATAAAAGGGTCATAAGCAGCATTCAAAATAACCTATATTAAATACCTAAAAAATATAATCTTTTGCATAGGATAAAGAAAAGTGCAGCTACAGCATAACATTCCATACCACAAGAAATGGCTAATTTACAAGTGGTATACAATTAACTGTTGTCTCTCATCACCAAGACTGTGGCAATTAGAGACATGTTTATTGGGAAAAATCACAGTAAAAAAAACAGATTAGGTTGTTTCATTATGTTTGTAAAGCAAGTGCAAACATTTAAAATTCTTTTTAAAAGAAAGCAACGCTGATAGATAATTTTCACAAGTTAATTTTCTCTTGACATTACTTTGAAGGATGAAATAGCCTTTGTTCTTTTAGAATCCAAATTAAAAATAAATCCCCATTTGGCATCTGTTTTGTGGAAAAAAAAAATTAGAAAGCTTGTAAATGTGCAAGTTTTATTTGTCCTATAAAAGTTGAATGTTTATAGGATTGTAACTCTTCATTCCCTTCTAACTTTTGTACTGCAATCCTTCGGGTAATCAAGCACAGAATAGTATTAAATAAACCTGGGAGACTGATTTCCACTGTTCAGAAGAACAGAGAAAGGGTCTAAGAAGTGGAGAATCAGGAATTCTAGGAAAATAAAAGCCAAAAAGCCTATTGTCCAGTTTTGATAGGAAGCAAGCAACTTTTAAATATCTTCCTACTTCTCATATTTGCATGCCTAAATATGAGAAAGAAAAGCACATACCTAATCAGTTGTTAAAACACCTTCAATTTTGTTTTTTAGAAAAAATCAAGTTCTTTTATTGGACATAATTTGGTACTACAATTTGGTAAATGAGATATTTAAAATAAATAAAAATAAATATTGTATATATATTTCAAGATTGCTTGTTTCTGTAGCGAATTAGTGTCTTAGATTTCATTTTGTTTAGCTTTTTTCAAGCTTTGTCGCCACTTACGAATGGCAGTTCCAGAACTACTAGCTACCACACAAAGGGCGCCACCTACAGTCCACCAAGTTGGTAGATGATTGAGAAAAAGAATTTGCAAAATAAAAGCAAACACCACATCCATTGTTTTCATTATGGCTACAGGTCCAGCTTTCTCAATCTGTAATGCTTTTGTGAGAAATATCTGACCCCCTAACCCTAACAAGCCTATTAATATTAGAAGAACCCTATCTTTCCCACAATATGGTAAACGCCATTCATTCATAACAAACAATGCTATAACACATCCAATTAAACCAATGACTGCATAATACCAAATTGACAAAAAATAATGCACAGATTTTCCCACCTTCCTCAGTATAACAAAAGTCGAAGCTCCAGATACTGTGCTTGTAATTGCTGCTATAGTTCCTTTAAGGTGATCCGTGTAACTTCCTTCAATCCCCGTAACGTTTGACCCAAACAGAAACGGTGGTCTGGCAATAAGAACCACTCCAGTGATTGCAAAGAGGGTAAACAGAAGATCCCAAATACTGTATTTCTCTTTCAGAAAGATCCATGCCAACAACGATGTAAAAACAGGACTGCTAAAAGTTATAACAGTGGCATCAGCTAGGGGCATGACTTGGAAAGCGTAGTAGAGAAGAATCATTGCACTAGAGCCAAGGAATCCTCGGAAGAAAAGAAAAATTCTTTTACCTTTTGGTCCCAAAAACCCCGTTCTGAAAAACAGAAATGTCATGTTAATGTCACTGGCTTGCTTATTTCATAAGCAACATTGAATCACATTTAAATGTACACACCCTTCTAGATTGTACACACCTTTCTAGATGAGGGATTTATCTCAGTTATCAAAATATTTTTAACTGTATGATCACAGACCAATTTATTCCCATCACCACCCCTAATCACATTCAGAGTCCAGAACCTCTTCTTCTAGCTATTAATTTTTTGCTTGCAAAATAACCCAGAGCATCTACAAATTACCTTCTATTTTTTAAGAACATCACTTTGTGGAAGATCTATGCATTTGATATAATCTCTGTAGAATCCTCTACAATTCAGGGAGTCAAAGATTTTCAGTTTTCTGAATTGTTTTAAGAAACTATCAATCAATCCAAAACAATGCAGTTATGTAACTGAAGTCTGAATTAAATCAGATTGCAGTATTGTTTTAAGTGAGTGATAATTCTAGATCTATTTTTAAGAAATAACTTTAAATTTAAACATTTGCTACACTTACTTGTAGTATATTAAACCAGGAAGAACGAATGCCATTTGGAAAACACATCGAAAAGCACTCACTTCCACTGAATGTACATCTTCTATTTTTTTAAGAAATAAAGAGGCCACTGAGAAAAGGAAGGCAGACAGTACAGTATAAAACAGACCAAGTCCTGGGCACGCAGCTTTCTTCTTTCTCCCTGCAACAGACAAATTCCAGTTAATAATGATATACTAGAAGATTTCTCAGGTCAGGCAGCTCTACATATGGCAGAGCTCCACACATTTGCAGCTATTCTTGTGGTAGAGGACAGGAAGCAAAAGAAGCAAATGCAAATATTACATGTACTTACCAGACCTACTTTGAAAATATGTTTCACTGACCACCACGGGTCTCCTTTTTTTTCTTAAAACAGGAGATAAGATATGGACTCCAACACCTTGGATACAAAACTTCTCACAGATCTACATGAGTTAGTAGGCTTTTCTTCTCAGAGGCATCAGACTATTTGGGCGATTCTGACTGCTGCCCAAGGACCAATAAATACCACTGACTGCAAAATGGTCCATGGCTAGATTCTGAAACACTGAAACTTATTACCTTGGGAATCATCTGATTATTGATTAAGTTCATTAAAGTTCATAAGCAACAATTTAATTTCCTTTCTCACAAATACACACACGTGAAAATTATGTGCAAAACCTCACTTTCATTATACCTCATTTATTTTGTAGCTAAACCACGTTAATTTTTACTAGACCTGCAGAAGTTTTATCTAACATTTTTACGTTGCTGTTAAGAACCCAAATATTTTTTCAAATAAACTTCAAATAAATTTCTTCTGCTTAAAAAATATGTGACTAATTTTAAAACATCATAGGCCTGCTTAAAGTACTGATATCTATCACAATTCCATGAAGACCTTAGTTTTGCTTTCATTTATTCTTATTTATCACCTTCTACTCCACTCATGTTCTCCATCCTCAAAAAAAAAAAAAACAAACCAAAACCAGAGAAGGTGAACAGCTGCTGACCTCAACACTGTTTCCAAAGAAACCAGACTTTTTTTTTTTGTTGCTTTGCCGCATAAGAAGAACAGTCTTTCCACTGAACCTACAGATGAACACCATGGAAAAAGAGAACCCATTTAAAAATCTGAGTGGGATGTTACTTCACTATCTCTTTTCTTTGTCTGCATAATACACCAGGAGTTGCCTTTTCTTCTACAACACCCTCTGAAGATAAGAGCAAGAACTCCATGTCCCGAAGGCAGTGTTTTGATAAAAGGGTGCCTCATCTCACGTTTGTTTGGGAGCCCTGAGCCTTACAGATCCTCTAAAACACAATCAGCAGGGCACTGCTGTGAGTTGCTTAGCAACTAAATATGGTTTTGAGGGGTTTCTGGTTTTGGTTAGGGTGTGTGGGGTTTTTTTTAAATTAACAAAACTTGTCACAAACCATTTTAATCCTCCTTGATATCAGCAGTCAAGGCTGAGAAACTGAATCTTACAACCTAAGAGCTGAGACTGCTATACACTGCGTATAGCATTGGTTCTGGTTCAACTGTTCTAGAGAACCAGGCTTTACAACTGCAACCAGAATTTAAAGTAGGTAGAAGGCTTGGTTTTCAGGGAATCCAATCACACTACAGCTGAAAACGAATGACAGTTTCTACCATAAATATTTCTATTTAGCAACAGCCACTTACATAAAGTGACTACAAACACTACCGCCAATTAACACTGGACCAGGACATCTACAGACTATGAAACAGTGGATTTAAAAAATGTTCATGAATTACGTAATGTCCTAATCCACATAGTCACGCAAAAGAACTACAAAATCAACAACGTCTCTAATTTTAAAGCAAGAGGAATCAGACTGGCCTATTACTGAAATGGGAAATCCAAACCCAGGCTGGCTTACGGATGAACACAGCACAAACAGAACTATTAACTTCTATTTCAGGCATGATAGCTTGCCTCGTTTCTACAGAATTAAGCCAATCTAAATAATGGAAGTGTTGAAATGGAAAACGATTCAGACTAAAGCAAAGTAAGCTGAAAGGATCCTACACCCAGAACTAAGCTTTGGATTTGAAGGAACAAAGGAAAACCAGAAGGAATTCATTTTTGTAAGCCACCCAATGCACCAAGCCTATCAGAAACTGTATCTAGTAATACTAGAATTTAAACCATCAACATCTCTTGCCAAAGCATGTACTCAGTGCAATGAGAAAGTGTTTTATTTCCTTTTAAAAATAAAATGGTTTAATTTCTTCCACCAAAACCAAGACTTGCAGTTCTATAGAGTACTTATTTCAAAATACAGTGTAAGGAGAAGTTAGGTTAAGATAACATTCCCACCCCACAAAATATTAAGCCTCCAAACACTACCCCAACACCACTCATGCTTTTTTAAAAAAGTGTAGCAGCCTGAAAATAAGTTTCAAGTAATATCCAAGTCCTCTTTTCTGACTGGCTACAGATTTAAGATTTGGTTTTCCAATTTTATTTCTTGGCCATCCCACATGTAAGGCTTTCAAATAATCTTCCACTCCCATTTTAAGGCTTAGTCAAATGCCTCCTGCTGCACTCATTTTCTGTGTAAATCCTTTCTGTTTGTGTTTTAATGTCATGCCTTCTTGCAAACAGTTTTTATACTTGCAAAATGCATACAGTGAAGAAAATCACACTTCTCACATACATGCACCTTGAGCATAGTAGCAGAGGCAGAAGAGTACTGGCTGTGGGGAAGGTGGTCAGTGAGAAGATGATTCTCCCAGACCTCCAGGAAAGCCAGAAGAGGGTGATCCATTCTTCACACCATAAGAAGCAGAACAGCTTTCTCACAGACTTCAGGAAAGCACCAGGAGCACAACAGCCTGCGTATGAACTAATTATGGTCATGCAGACAAGATCTAGGCATGATTCAAAAGTTAACATTTTGCTAGACACGCTACTAAAAAAAAATAATAATTTTTTTGGTGAATAAATGCAAGTTTCTCAGGATTTCAAACATTGATTTTCCCCCCAAGCTTTGCCTCAGAAGAGATACTAATGTGACTTTCACTGCTGAAGTACACTGTCTCTTCTGGCCTCTCCACAGTTCACTAGCTAACAAAGATTGCCATTTTATCCATCTTCTGCTGGAAAGTAAATTATAGTCCATATTCAATGAAATACACATTTTCAGTGAAGTTGTTTAAAAATTACACATGCTAAAGTACTTCAAGTAACGACTTCAAAGATCATTTTAAGGTGGCATTTATGTTTTAAAAGGAAGCCACATTAAACTTACAAAACGTTGGGTATTTTGCAGTAAGTTTGTGGCTTTAACGAGTCAAAATGACCGAGAAGTGAAGCAGGGATTAAGACAAAATAAAGAGTACACTCATACTAAAGCAGGACAGGAATTACCAAGGAAGCCATAGCTGCAAGTTGTATGGACTTGTTGAACAGCACTCGCGCTCCTTCTCAACGTATTTACAGTGGCAGAAGTCCACGCTGCCAGAAGGCACCTCGATTTACCCAAACCTGCCAAGCCTTCCTTCAGAACTTTAACACCACGAAGCGCTGTTTTCCCGAGGGATAATCGCTACCGAAGCTCTCACAGAAGCGGCCG